GCTTGCGAGGGCAGCGGGGGACTCGCTGCGGACTCAGACGCAGCCCGAACCTGGCCGGGATGCCGCTACCCGGCCGAGGCAGAGCAGCCCGGGAGCACGAAACGGAGGGAACGCGGTCCCCCACGATGATTTTGGGAAAGAAGCAGGTTAGCAAACGCTGGAAGTGTCGGCTTTAGGCAGATCTCCTGCGTTTATTAGAACAAGAGGCATGGCTACGCAAACCGATCTCGGCGGGCAAAGAGGCGTTACAGGCGAGCGTTCTCAACCCCTCGGGCTGCAGACACCCCACGGTCACACCGACTTGGGACGTTTCCGAAGGATTCACGTCCTTTCCCGCACGGCTAACACTTGCGTTTATGAATCGGTCTCGTTTCCTCCCAGCACCAGACGCTCTCGATCTGGAAGATGAACTTTCATGCTCCAACCTTGCCATCGTTATGTTCAAGAGTCAATTTGCATCACGTGCTGCTTTCCAGCTTTTTCTGCCCACCACCTTTTTCAAATTGTTTAGATTTTAAAAGGTCTAGTCCTCTGGGTTTGGCGTGACAGCAACAGTAGCAAGCAAGAGGACAGAAAATACCACTAAAGAGCAGGATCATTAATTGTCAATAAGCTACTCGAGAGACATTTTCCCAAGCAAAGTCCGCTCCCGGCAGTGGAAATGCCCGAGCACCATCGCCGCAGGCAGACTGGACCGCTCGGGGCAGAACCTAGATGAGATGCTCTTCGTCTAAGTGGTTTCATCTCCACGTCTTTTCATGACGTTTTTAGAAGAGCATGAAAATAAACCTTTATTTCAGTTCACACCCGCCAATATTAAAGGTATACGTTCACAGCTTTAGTTCTTGACACAAATGGACTGAAAGAGGCAAATTTACACCTATTGGAACAGCAGACGGACCCAGTTGTAAGTACAAGCTGTCTGAAAATCGGAGGTGACACGCCGTTTGGGAAGCTGCTCTACGCTCTACAGCAGGAGAAGGGAAAGCTTCCTGCCCAGTCCTGCAGGCAGGGCCCCGAGCGACCGACTGACCGGCCCCGAAGTTTTCCAACAGGCCAAGTGGCAACTAAACAGCAAAGAGACAGCGTGGGTGAGGGGAGGAAGGTTTCTGTTCCAGAGCGAGCTCTTCCGCAAGCGTGTCTCCGCAGCACATGGAGGCATCGGTTTGCTTGTGCTGCCCAAGGCGTCCCTAACGCCGCACCGGCACCGCATCCCACCAAACCACGCGGGGAGAGGAGCAGCTCGGGGCCGGACCTCCGACAGCCCCGCACCGAGCGCCTGGGCAAGGCCCGCTCCCAGTCACGAGGAATGAACCCAGAGGTTTTACCATCCAGTTTGAAAACTTGCCTCCTCCTCACAGCCTGGAACTTCCAACGGTGAGCGCACTGGAAGTCTGATGCAATGATATTAACAGTGGTTTACAACAAAAACGTCTGTAGAAAATAGCTCAAAGCAAGCCAGCTAAACACCACAGTTAAGGAGTTTGATATTTCATATTCAAACGTCTCCAATACTTTTTTGCCTGTCCTGTACAGCTTTTAAAAAAATAGGGCGTTACCTTTAGTTTTCTATCTACCTAGTTAAGAAACTACAAATACGTTACAAGCTGTCCAAAGCGTGAAACGTTAAATAAAATGAGAAACCTGTTTCTAGTCTCCTAACAAACGCTGCAGATACAAACCCTACGAAACCCTCTTTAACACTCATTCTCTCAACTCTGTGTACCGAAGTGGTAACCCTGTTCACAGGGATTAAATTCAACCTACGGCAGATTTCTGCAGGGGTAGACAGGGTTTCTTGGAGCCGTGCTCTGAAAAACATTCATTTCTCAACGAGCAATCAGACCTTGAACACTGCACAAATCCCGAACAGAACTCTGACGGAGCGGTGAAGCGCCGGGGTTTCGTTCCGCACCTTCCCGTCGCGCCGCGCGCGGACCTCCCGCCCGCCGCACCCAGCGCTGCCGAGACGGCCCGCACCGACGGACCCGTCTCAACAGGCCTCGGCCGGAGCGACGGCTCCCCCCTTCCCCACCTCCCACAACAGCAAAGGTCACTTCAGCCTGCAGGGCACCCTCTCAGAGAAAAACCATCGGTAATGTAAAAATCTCTTTTTCCTTCTGCCAACAAAGCATCGTGTTCTGTTGAAGGGGGGAGGAGGGAATAAAGGTAAAAAGGGCGAGCGAAAGGGGCAATACATTAATTTTAAAAAAGTGTTTAGACCAATTATCCACACATCATCGCTGGATCAATACACACGTATTTAGCTATAAACCAATGTGCTCTGAATCTTTTTCAAGTATCCGGTATCAATTTCATATAAAGATTTTGCGTAAACAAACCACCAAACGCAGATGAAAAATGACTGTTTTTCCAAGTCTGAAATTAAGCATTAGAACTAAAGTAACTCCAGGAGTTAGTATTCCATACAGCACTAGCAGTCTGCCAAATTAAAAATTTCACATATTCCAAAAGACCATGGGCTGATAAAAATCTGCTAAACGGGAATTAAGGAAACGGAAATAGTGTGCAATAATTAAAACCCGGGTTGTAGTTTGGGGAAAACGTCTAAAATCCTGAATCAAAAAAAAAAAAACGACAAATGAAGTGAAAGCTTTTAACTGGTACACACTGTTCACACCTATATTTCAAGTTTGGAAACGCATATTTTCAAGCAGCAATACAAAAAAGTATCCATGAAGAATGCATAATCTCTGAAAAAATTATGAAAACATCCCTGCTACCATTACATTTCTAAATACAAAACTGACTACCATATTGTTGCTTCTGTGTAGCGAGAGAAGTTCATTTTCAAAACAGATAAAATTCAGTCTTTAGGTGTGAATGGTATGAATGACAGTCTCCTTTTTTTTTTTTAAAATTTCTTAGTTGTTTGGGATCCTTAAGCATGCAAGCCTCGGAGAGGAAGGCCCGACGAGGGCAGGGTTGGCTTATGACATCCAGTTTAGGACAGAGCTGGGAAAGCCTCTGGGTCGTCAACATCAGGAGCAGAAGCATTCGACTGAAAGAGAAACACCAGAGAGTTATTACTGCCAGCAGCACCCAGGCCCACCGCGTCCCCGACTCCTCGCCCACGCCCGGCAATTGGGGCACGGGGACAAGGCGACGCCTCCCTCCCAGTGCTGCTGGCACGGGGCAGGGGGACGCCCTGCTCCCCACGCGAACGGCGGAGGGAATTGTTTCTTTCTAAAAAACCACTTTACGCTGCACCCTATTCAATAGGGAAATACCAGGTGTCAGAGGTACACAGCACAGGGGAGTAAGCAGGCTACTACTGGAAAAAATACAACAGCAGCTTTTTTCCCCCGATGTTAACTTTCTTTTTTTTTAATTCCAAGGACTAGAAACTCTCCCATATTGCTTTCTGAATCAAAGCTGAAGAGACATAAGCCCATGCTGGGACGTGATTATCGCACAACATTATAAGCACATCCCTTTTTCCATTCTTAAAGAGATCCCTACGCGTGGGCTTATGCTATTCTGCTAGCACGCAGCCATCAATTCTTACTGAGGGACATCGCTGAAGTGTTGCAGAAAAGACTTTTTGTAGCACAAATTAAGTTTCAGATGTTTAACTTCTCCCAGTCAAACTAGCTGCTGATAAAAAGGACTTGTGTGTCAACCTAACCCTAGAAATTCATATGCTTTAACCAAGAATCTCCTCGGTACTTCCCTAACCGAGTGTTTTTAAAAGGCTCTGTACCACTCCTGAAAAACACTGCCACAGTGAGATGCAGAAATGAAGTATTTTAGAATGCTTCCATGAGGGACGTGGAAGAGAAGAGCAGGAAGAGCCAGCACAGTGGAATTTCCTGTAACTACATTCACTTCTCAAGATGAAGAGATGTATTTCAACCATTCCAGTAAAAGTTGTGTCAAACTCTGCAGGCAAGGCTAAGACACTGCAGCAGGACCCAGCCCACAAACCCGAGTTAAACAGGGTTCAGACCCTGCTGTTACTGTCGCCGTAGTATCTCTGGTCGCTCAGCACACCACAGCCAAGAGCAAGCCAGAGAAGCCCCTCCCCGGCAGGAGGGCAGTCACAGTCCCTGCAACAGGAGGGCCCCGACCGTTCACAGGTAACCTAAGAGCCAGCAGAGATCACCAACCTGGTTGGGCGTGTGGATCACGTCAAACTCCTTAACCAACTGGAAGGGAATAAACAAAACATAAAATGAGCTGCAGATCTCAAAGTTTAACTACTTTATGACAGCGTTCTTGAAAAAGCAAGATGCCGCACTCGTGAAACAACTCAGCGCAAACACCACCACCATTTAATATCAATCCCTTAAAATTTTCTTATATTGCTAGCAGGAGAGTTTTCCAACTAACAAGCCTAAAACTTCAGGTGATCCAGTGCAAGAGAGATAACAGAGTCAGCATCCTACATGAGACAAAAAAGAGCAAGCCTGGTGGTCTGTGTGAAGAAAGCCACACCACAGAGGCTGAACTCATTTTCTAGTGAGTAACAATTTGATTAGATGCATTTAAGCTGAATAAATGATCCATATTAAACCAAATCTTTACTGTAGCTACACTACGGTACTTCAATTTTACACGTTCTCTCCCCAGCCCCATTCAGTACTTGGTCCTGAGTATTTCCTTAGGGCTTTAGCACTAGAGGAGGCAACAAATATTACTGCAGATTAGGAAAAACAAACAAAAAAACACCATAGTAAAAGTCCCGTTTCCACATGAAAACTCTAAATTCCTCAAATTCAAGATATACCACGCGGCTGTAACATCAGTCTTTCACCCCCAAGAGGTCACAGTGCAGACACCGTCGGACGCAGTCGGGACGGTGTAACTGCTCTAGCACTGGTGGTTCTGCTCTGGCACAAACAGAAGCATCTCACAGTACACTCGGACCTGTCCATACCAAAGAGTCATTTTTGGGGTTTAGAAACAACCTTCAAAGATGAACGCTTTTATTTTTAATCCAACTTACTCCCCACCCTCTCTTTTTTGTGTTTCATTAGAACACTGCTAAAACATTCATCCTTGTGTCCTAGCAGTAACCTAGTTGAAAGTAACCTTGTAAGAACAGACACAGTGCTTGGTGTTAAAACGCAGCGTTTGTTGACAGAGCAACTCCCTCAGAAATGAGGAGGACACCTAAAACTATCTCTAGGAAGGCCCTAATAACAACTGAAACGAAACTCCTTCGCAGACGAAAGCTGTGGCTACTTACCTTGTCAGTTCTGCCTCCACCTGCCACCACGCCCTCGGCCACCCCGTCCCCCTCGGCCACCACGTCCGGGGCGGCCCAGGTCTCCAAAGTTGATCTCCAGCTGGGATGTAATATCGTTTGCTGGCTTGCGGAAGTGATGATCCATTACCGAGTCCTCAGCGTGAGCCTGAAAGGAGCGTTTCTCCGTCAGTAAGAAAAATCACCCAAGAAGCTTCCTCAGCCCTAGCTGCGCTCTTACCACCACAGCATACGTGTTCACCTCCAAAGGCACTCCCAAATTGACGACTGATTGATTACCTTGATTGATTCAAGTTAAAAGATAGTGCAGGAATTGTTAGGAATCAAGGTGTACCACTTGTGCAGAGGACAAAACCACATACAGGTGATCAAGTAAGTGCTTGAGCAAACGAAGGCATTTTGCATTTCCAAGGTAATTCGGGGAAGCTCTGGCGTTCCTTCAGCGGAGCACGTTTAGGCTTATCCGAGATCACACTGACTACCACCAAGCCAGTACGGCATTCTAGCGTTTCTCTCCTTTTCCCTGCGTATCCCGAGAAATCTTCGTGTTCTATCAAATCATTTCATTCTTTTTAAATACTTACTTGGTAACCCATCTTTATTTTGCTCAATGAGTACTTTACACTTTCTCATTTGCTTAGCCCTGTGTAAATATTTAAAACAAGGGAGATGGTAAGAATCCCTTATCGGTTCGTATTAGCCACAACAAACAGCAAACGAGGCATAAACAGTTCAAAGACAAGGCAACTGAAGTAGCTAAAACATTAACGCTGCAACAGAGAACCAGTCTCACCAATGACACTGAAAAATAGGACTTTGCCATGATACATCAGTGTCTCACAGCTGGCTGGCTCCCAGTGAGAAACTGGAGCCTTGAGGAGCCAGGTCTGCGCCAAAGAGTTACGTCTAACACCATGAATGCTGTTATTCAGCACATTTGAGTATTTCAAATTATTCAGCACATGAGTATTTCGAATTATTACACACTGAACACAAAAAACCCAAGTGTTTTTAAATTAATTATTTTTCCTGTTTTACACAAATAGCTTTGCCGTGTAGTAAGTCAGGTTTTGGCACCTATGATGATACACAAGCTGTAAAACTGACCACGCTGGGTCAGACCAAGGGTTTATTAGTCCAGCCCTCTGCCTCTTACAAGCCCAACTATCACGTGTGAAAACGTGACAATCCACCACTCTTTTCCTATAACCACCAGAGATCTGGCACAGTAATTTTCCAGAGGAAAAACCAAGAAAACTGAAGTGCCACGTGCAAGCTTAGCCTACTGACTATGACTGCCTTTTCTTGCGGTGTAATTACACAATACACCGACTTTCAAAGGCACCACACTATCCCATGAAGCACTGTACCCTTTAATCACCGTTGTGGATCCTTCACAAGGCAGCCAATGGATACAGAGAGGTCCGCAGTCCTCAGGCTGAAAGCTGCTTTCAGCGATTCCCTGAGTCAATCGCAAGCCCCACAACGTACAAAGCCATAAAGAGCCTTCTCCCCCACCCATCTCACCACCCCATTCTGCACCCAGCTGTAGATTCAGCCTCCACAACGTCCTGCAGTGGAGGGCACCGTAATTTAGTTAGGCACAACGAGAAATACCTCTCCACGCTGCTTTACTTCAGACATAGTCCACCAGGATGTATTCCATGTAACAGCTGGCCCCCATCCCAGTCCCGAGATTTTACAGATTTGAATTGTACACCCTTCCCTCAGAGATCTCTTTTCCAAACTTAGGGAGTAAGCCCAGGCAGTTATTTTTCAGAGAAAAGTCATTCCACATCTCAGCCCGAGATAGCACTACTCAAACGTAAGCACACCAACAATTTGTAGAACAGTACACAATACCTTTTGCTATGGTTTTGATTCTTTTCCTACTACTTAAGGTTTTATCTACCGTTTTGATCGCTGCAGGGTACCGAGACGGTATTTTCAACTTACTGGTAGCTGTATGGCATTCTCTTTTCTGCCAGGTAGGATCACTGGCTTTGTACAGTAATTCTGTGCATTTCCTACCCTACGCTGCTACTGCTTAAAAAAGAAACACTACAGTCTACAAAAACCATCGTTATTTTCACGACTTCACTTTGGTTTAACCACTAAACCAAACAAATCGCAGATTCTGTACGTAACCCGATGATCTCTTTATCCTGAATAACTGAAGCTAATTTAAAGCACCAGTAAAAGACTTGGCACGTTCTCCTCATACTCTTCCATCACTCAGGTGACAACAAAGACATACCATACAAATTACTTCTTCTGAATCATCTTTGGAAGCATTTCATTTGTATGTATTGGCAACTCTCAGTAACACTCTGATCTAATAACTGATAGCGTCTCAAAGGCTTTGCTGCACTTATGGGTCTTGGGGAAGGCTGTCAAAAATTAAGAAGAAGCTACTAACAGAAAGGTGGCCAAAGCAGACAGTGAGATACGGAAAAACAGCAGCAACAAAAACCAAAAAGACTCATGATCGAAGTATTTATGATAAGGTTTGAATTCAGCTCAATCAGGACTATGAAGGGTCCTAAAAGGTGTGCAGTTAGACAACAGGCATGGACAGAAGAGCTCCATATTGGATCTACTTGTATTCTTGTTTTTTGCGACTTCTTAATATCCAGGCCTTCACTTCAGAAGGGGCTCAAATCAAAACACAGGTATCACCAGTTAGATATAAAGGATCAGTACCTCATTTGACTCCAGCAGACTCCCCTGCATTTCTGTCATCGCCTTTGTCTGATGAAAGTTGCATGTCCACGCCAAAGTGACAAAAGGAACAAAGGGAGAAAACAAAAGGAAGAAATGAGACTCAACTACATACAGAAATAACAGGTAATAAGGTCACATGAGCTTGCTGGGTACAGATGTCACCGAGCACATGAAGCAGCGAAGGGATGAGATCAACAGCTGTGCAAGCGTCCAGAAAGACTAGAAGATGGACTATACCACAGGCATGGAGACAAAAGAAATCTCAGATCGATATCAAAAAGGCTGCTGGGAACTTAGTAGAGACCACACATGCAGGCTGATCCCTAGCACCTCGAGCCATCAGGCACACAGAGGCAGACAGACAAGGGTGGGATGTTTAAGATTACTGTTAATGAGAAAATATATCTGCACAGCCTCAATTCAAGAGTCCTTCCTCCAAATTTTGAGAAGATGAACTACTATTTTCCACAACATTTCTCAGTCTCCCATTGCAACCTCCTCTAAGGAAGCGATTAGATTAGCAAGAAAAGTTTGAAGGCAAGGAAAGAGGCACGACACAGCAGATACATAGAGTAGGAACTCATCTACTAGTGTATCAGCCTTTCCAGGAGACTTCCATCCAACTTCTTCAACAAATTCTAAGATCTCTCCACAAAGTAATTCCTTCCCATTTTTTGTTCAGCTGCACCAGCAGAACTTAAAAGACTCGAGCCACTAAACCAGCTGCAGAGAAGGAACCAACCCCCTGGAAAGAGTCTCATTAGACCAGAGCTGCCAATACACATGGATTTCCTATTAAAGCAGCAAGAATCTGAGACAGCGGTAAGAGTTCGTTTCACACAAAGCATCGCTTTCTGGTAATTGCACAGCAAAGGTGAAAAAAGAGGAAAGACCTCAGGTAGAGTCGAGCGCTTGACCCCTCAGTGAAGGGCACAAGTAGGAGGAGGACAGCTCTTTCACAAGACTAAGGCAGATGAACAGTACTAGATCCTCATACTCCCTTTTCCCCCAGACTCCTAGGGCATTCTCCCAGTAGCTCTGACACTACAGGAATGAGGGTGGTCATTGCAATGCTTCAATCCACATTCCTGAGAAAATCTGCTAGGGCACATTGTGATTTTTCAGCCGTAAGAATACAGAAGATCTGGGGCTGAAACTCAGAATTTACCTAGAAACCCAGTCCCTTCCACACATCAACTCCCTTCTTGTCAAGAAGAATCACAGAAACCTTGCATCAACCCTAATTTCATGATTCCAGGCACGTCCAAGAAGACAAAAAGAAAGAGAACAGCAAGTGATCAGTAGGTTTCGTTCACGACTTCTAAATATTCCACCTTCTAAACCTGCTCACAAAGGAGCCGCAGTGAAGGCTTTCCTAACACCTGTACCACCGAGCTATTCCGCTACATTACTTCGCAAAAAACCCAGTGCTGCTCCCCACAGGATCAGTGAACGACGAGTGAGATGGGCAGGAACATCTGCTGGAGACGCAACCAAAGCACCTACAGTTACAGGCAGTTCTGTCCATACCTCACCTCCATCCCCACACAGCAAGGAGCTGTCACCTTCTTCTGTGACAGTGTTAAACACATCTGACTCATTTCTTTGAGGAGAAGTTAGCCGAATACACCTCTCAAACAGAACCACCTACTAATTACATCAGTTCTTCTATGAAAGTGATTAGTTATTCTCATTGGTTTTGTTTGGGGGTTTTTGAGTTAACTAGCGATTCGTTTTTCAAATGGAAAATACAGTATGCACCTTTCTAGCTTCTAAATTACTCTACAGTACCACTATCACATATGCAGGCACGTTAAAAAAAACTGTCTTCAGTTGACTCAATGTCAAATTAATCCACTCCAGAGAGACTGGGGCTGGGGGAACTTGTAGGACTACAGGTTCAGTAAATCTTGGCAAAGTACATAAATGCTTCTGTTTAAATACACTCTTTTAATACGCAGCAACATTAGCTCAATTTCCCTTTTCTACACAAGCCAGAGAAAGCAGTACTTAATGAACGCTTCAGACACGGAGCAGCTTAAGGTAAAAAAAGACACACAATCATTTAAAGAACTGCACTACCTTACACAGCAAGAAAAGAAAATAGAAATCACAAGGTCAAACTCATCCTGGATTGAATGAGATTAGAAATGGAGTTTTCATTGGAAAGAACTGAATAGTGCCTTCCCACCAGTATTATGCCCCCAGCTTACAAGAAAAAACTGACAAGGTGTGAAAGGCAGAAAGACGTATCAGAAGACCACACAGCACATTACATACTATTTAGTTACTTCAAAGGGAGTCAGAACCACCTGGCACACAAAGCTGCAGGCCACCGACCAACAGTGGGCTGCTTCAGATATTACTGAGCATTACAAACCAAGACTAACGCAGCCCTGCATTAGAAAACAGAGCTCTCAGCACCTCCTTCCCCTTCGGAAGCGAAAGAGTACGTCTCTCCTTGCCATCCTACCTACCTTGGAACCGAGTAATTAAAGTTTTGTGTCTTAAATGACTATGCTTCAGAAACTACAATTTTAAAATAATTCTACAGCAACTATGTTGAATATCACTGAAGCATACAAATGTATTTCACCTGGTTTCTCAAAAGCTTCAAGGACACTTGTCCATATAGCATTACAAAATGAGATGATCCCTACATCACAAACTTCAGATACACAGCTGAGGTACTAAGGTGTCTGAGGCATGACCAGTATGTCTTCAACCTTACATTGTGTTCAGCAAGCATCATAGATCTGCTTACTGCCTAAGACTGAGATGCCAGACAACATAACCTTTCTTTAAAAAAAAGCAAATAAATTAATTTGATATTGACGAACTTTAGAAACAGTGCTCACCCAGAGAGAGCCCTCACCAAGTCCCTGCCCAGACGCAGCAGTACTGCAGTCTGATCTCCAGATCACACCAACCTCAGGGTACCGATCAGCTGCTCAAACTGACCACGGTAAGAACAGCTACTCACACTGCTGCACAACTTCAGCTTTATTCAGAGAAATGTTGTTCCCACTTTATGAACTTTTAGCCACAGGTCAGCGTCTCCAGGAACGGAGCTTCCACTCCAAGAAGTGCGCATCAATAGAAAAGCCCATACAATCTAGATACTAGCAAATATTGAAAATCACTTTACCTCCTCACTCTTTGACTTGTGAAGAACAAATCCTTTTTTCCATTGCCCATCAGCACCCTCATTTGGTTTACGGATGTTGAACTCAACTTTTGCACGATCCTTACTTTGAATAGCTTTCCACTCGTCCAGGGTCATTTCCTTAGGACCTTCTTCCTTAACTTCTTCAACCTCATTCTCTCTGTAGTAAATTCATGGATATTATGATCATGACTTAGAACTCACATTCTAGGCACAACAAATTCACAATCAGTTGTTAATCAGCACCAAATTAAAAAAGTTTGTCAAGTATTTAGCAGTTAAGAGTTGCATATACCCCCCCCTTTCCACCACTCGGAAAGCACACATGAAAACTCAGCTCCTTCAGCCAGAGTGTCAATAAAAGAAAAAAATCAGCCAGACACCTTTAAGTAACTAAATGGTGAGCACAGCACATCAAAGTGTTCAAATTAACACTGACCCATGCCCTCTCTTTTCCATATGAATGATAATTTTCTCTACAAATATGCAGGCCTAACTTCTGCAATGGCCTTGTCTGGAGCTCCTCCACTTCTCTCTCAAGGCTCAAGTTAAGGCAGTGAGAGAGCTTGTTCTCACCACACTTCCAAGCTTGCTAGTTTTTTAAAAAAACAGAATTTAGCAGCTTTGAGTAGTCTGCTTCCTTCATTGAACCAAAGACAACCCTTAATTTCCCAGCTAACTGAAACAATCTTTACTTTCAGCTAACTTGAAAAAACAACAGCCTAGTTACCTGCATGATGTATCACTTCTATGTAAATCTTTGGTGCCTCTACCTTCTGCCAAAGAGCTATTTTTATGTAAACCACACCCCCACTATGCTCAGTAACAGATCATGTCCCAGCTACCCAGGCAGTCAATCCTCTAGTCATTCTTCAGTGTGTTCATGCAACTACGTTTCCAATTTATAGAAAACTAGTGCCACGTAGGTGCAGCAAGGATAATTAAAACCTTGAACTTAAGAGAAAAGGTCTGCGTTTCGCAGCCATTCATTTTCATGCAATAATGCTGAGGTTTTCAGTCAAAATCACTGCATTCCCATTTTTTCTCATTCTGTAGGACAGGATTATTTATGACATGGTACATATCCCGATGCATTTTTGTTGTTCAAGGCAAAGCTATCCCTCAGCTTTCTGCACATCTTACTGCAGTGAAACATCCTGCAGTTCTGCTGAAACATTTAGGTTGGAGACCCACACCCAACTAGCCAACCTGAAAACAAACCCACAGAAAGGTGGTTTTCTGTAAAGGTAACTCCTGGATTACAACAGATGCGTTACGCTTGAAACTGAGAAGAGCAGGCGTTTTCTGCAGATTTGAGGAAGAAGAAAGGACAAACAGGCTGCAGAATTTTGCAGATAACTGATCTGCAGATGGACAGGTCAGTGGCTGGTCAAGCACCAACTGCTACTAATGAAGATCCAGACACAGCAAATTTAATGTATCCAGACTTCCAATACATACAATTTTTTTAAGGACTAGCTAGCCTGCATTTTCTGACCAATGCCCAAGCTGTAATTCCTTAAAATTTCTCATAGTACTTCTGTATACAAGATGACCTTAACCTTGGACCACCACAACTCTGGATAAGTAACAGCATTCAGTCTTTTTTAATGCAGCTATTGTACCCTCTTCACCACTAACCAAAGTTATTAATGAGGAAATCAAGCTATAGCAAACTCCACATTAGAAATCTCATGCAAACGATTTTAAAATTCTCTCTCATCTGTTTGCTGTTTTCTTCCGAATCCACCACAAAGCACATTCCTCATTAAAATACACCTTACTCTACTACGCTACCATAAAACTTTGTGTCACTTTTTTACATCAGCTCTCAGCATCCCT